GTTGTTGAACAAAATAACTTCTGCCACATTATTGAAAGCTGCTGTTTTTCTTGATATCTGTCCAACCCCCTCAGAGGGCAGGACACTCCCCAGGGCTTCCACTCAGGATAAAATGAAATATGAAATTTCTGAAAAATAAAACGAAAAGTTATAAAAAAGAGAAAGATAGAGCCCCAGAAAATTATATCCTTCCTGCTCCTGCCACCCTTTCCAGTTGTCTGTACTCTTGTGATTCTAGCACTTAGTCACACATTCTGTTGTCCAAGATACCTCTTGAGGTCTCATTTAATACCTTTGTTACTTTATGTACTTGAATTTTTTACGGACTGACTGTGGAGCTATAGCAGCAGGAGGAGAAAACCCATTGACAGCCACATGATCAAAAGAAGTAGAAGCAACAGTAGCCTTTTAGATCTATCTCGTTAATGCAGATTCCAAAATATTTGCAAAGATCATAAAGGAGCTGCATTCTATTATCAGAAAACCAAAAATACTACTCCAACTGACTTCTTTACAGACTGCATTTTGATGGATGATACCAGCCCTTCACTCACTTTGGGCAAATCTCTCTGCCTCAGCTTCTCCATCTGTAAAATGGGGATGGTGTTTGCTCACCCTTCCTAATGGGTGTGGTGAAGATTAACAGATGTTTATTAGTTGATTGAGTGTGGCTGACTAAGCTATTTCATTTCACTTTTGTTGTTTTAACTAGAATGTCCTGAGCCTTGGATAAGCAACCTTTTCAATTCTTGTATAAATTCAAATAAGGCATGTTGAGGATATAAAGTGCAAAATAAATTTTAGGTGGTGAAAGTTGATTCACTGTGTGGGGAATGGGGTTGGCAACATGTCTACTGTAGTAACTTTAAAGATTATATAGCCACCTTGATGTATGAGAGGTTCCCAGAATGTTGGGTAATAGGATTTGGCTTTTTTACTCCTACATCAATGAGACTGAACAAATTTGCAGTGATAAAATATACTTAGTAACTAGGCAGAAGAGGTACTTCCTCCAAGTGTCTGAAGTTAGTACTGAAAGAGAGGGAAGGCCCAAAAATGTGTATGAAAACATATGGGCTACATATAATAAACAAATTGCCTAATTATGAGGAAGGGGCTGAATATTTTTCTAAGACTGGAATTCTAGTTTTATATCTGCTATTGAGGACATATTCTGTGGCTAAGTAAAAGCAAACTGACTCGTCCCATTTGTAGAACTTGATAACTTTATCTAGAATCTAAAACCTCTCAGAATGATGTGAACTGCCTAAGCGTGTTGCCTTTTTATGCAGTAGTCTTAGCTCAGGGGTGGGCAAACTCGGGGCCCTTTGGATCCGGCTCGCGGGATTGCCCCCCGTGATGCCATGGTTCCCCGCGCCGCTCTCAGAAGGGGCCGGCAACACGTCCCTGGGCCCCAGGCGGGGGGGCAGAGGGCTCCGTGCGTTTCCCTTGCCTCCAGGCCACACCCCCCCTCCCCCCCCCCCCCCCCCCACAGCTCCCATTGGCCAGGAACGGGGAACCACGGCCAGTGGGAGATTCGGGGGAGGTACCTGGAGGCACGGCAAGGGCAGCGCATGCAGAGCCCTCTGCCCTCCCTCCCCCAGGGGCCGCAGTGCTTCCTAGAGCGGCGCAGGGACAGGGCAGGCATGCAGGTAGCCCCCTTGTACACCCTGCACCCCTCCTGCACCCCAACCCCCTGCCCTGAGCCCCCTGCTGCACCCTGCACCCCTGTGCACCCCAACCCCCTGCTGCACCCCTCCTGCACCCCAACCCCCTGCCCTGAGTTCCCTGCTGCACCCCTGTGCACCCTTGCCCTGAGCTCCCTCATACACCCCGCACCCCTCCTCTGCCCCAATCCCTTGCCCTGAGCCCCTTCCTGCACACCACACCCCCTCCCACACCCTGCACTCCCTCCATCCCTCACCCCAACCCCTTGTCCTGGCCCTGCATACAATTTCCCCACCCAGATGTGGCCCTCGGCCCAAAAAGTTTGCCCACCACATCTTAGCTGAATAACAAACCTTACATTGCTCAAATGCTGAGAAATGACCTGTGGTAGAGCTTACTTGAAGGCTTTAGGAGTAATAGACTCTGGAATTACGAAATAGCTTTCTATAATGATCAAGGCTTTAAGAAAATTGGAGGCCATAATTTTGTTGTAGTAACTGCAACTTTTTATAGTTGCTGTAGATTTGACTGGCATTGTGACCCTTTGCACCAAGTCACAAAGCCACTCACTCAGATTTGACCTGTTTGCCCCTCCATTATGTTTGCCTTCCAGAGCCAGGTGAGGGACACAGTGTTCTGTGCTGCTCTACTGCCTTGGAAGGGAGGCTGCATGGCTTGGAAGAAGGTGCTGGAGCGTGTATGTGATCGTGCTCCATCTGGGGTTCCCTGGGGGAGAGGGGGCATGTCTTCATGCCTTGTCAGGAAACGGGTTAAGAGGAAGCCTGAGACTTAACCCCCATGGGAGTGTCGTCTTGTGAGTGTCCCCATGCTGATGTCTCCGTGCACTAAAACCACAACTTAAGTGTCTGCAGCTTGTGAACCAAAAAATCATGACTCTTATAACCTTAATAATGACTTTTCCCTTATTTTATAACCTAGTTAGGGATAGATTATCTCTTATAGTTTGTCCATTTGAGACTTCAGTAAGGCTCGTACATTGTTGTGCTTACAGAATTTTGTGGAAATAAATTACCTGTACAACCAAATTGGGATACTGTTTACCTTAATGTTTGGGTAATACCGTACAACGTATGTATGACAAGTATAACATGTTAAAGGGGCATCTGAACAGGAAAAGACATGTTATATTATTCCTACAGGAATAAAATGCCAGTGTATTTGAATGTTGCCAGGAATCTGCACTAATTTTGGGGATGCTGTAGGGCAAGAAAGCTATAATATATCCTCTATGTGTAGATATATGTGATAGTTGATTTTGTTCTCTCATTGAGCAAATAGTACCCTCTATCATGAACCCTCGAGAGGCAGTGCCTAGAAGGAGATTTTTGTGAGAGACTTCATTTTTTTCTAATGCATTTAGCCTGTCAGTCCTCACAGGCAGAAAATGAGGAAACAAACTGGACTTAAAAATAAATAAATAAATAAAAAATACTCACTGAACTACAGTGATAACCCACTCTAGGATCTAAGTAAATAATCTGTAATGGTCGCTTTGGCAAGTCTGTTGAATTGAGTAGCTAAGGACAAATATCTCCTATTGGTGTGACACCGCATCAAAAGGAGGAAATACTGGTTTTATTCCCAATCCTGGAAAACATTTAGGAGAGGTGGAGGCAGGGAGAAAGAATTCAGTTTAATTTTGAGTTGTCATACTTCTGTGTAGAAATATATCTTTACAGAATTCTGTAGCTGTTTAGGGTTCAATTCAGTCAAATATATCCACTGTCTTCCATCTCTTGCAAGGTTGTGTATCTGTAGTTTGTGCCATGCAGACCTTAGTATAGGGCAGGGGTGGGCAAACTTTTTGGCCCAAGGGCCACATTGGGGTTGCAAAACTGTATGGAGGGCCAGGTAGGGAAGGCTGTGCCTCCCCAAACAACCTGGCCCCCGCCCCCATCCGACCCCTCCCACTTCCCACCCCCCTCAGAACTTCTGACCCATCCAACCCACCCTGTTCCTTGTCCCCTAACCACCCCCTCCTGGGACCCCCCGCCCCCGACTGCCCCCTCAGAACCCCTGACCCATCCAATCCCCCCTGCTCCTTGTCCCCTAACCGCCCCCAGGACCCCACACCCTATCCAACCCCCCTGCTCCCAGTCCCCTGACTGCTCTGACCCCATTCACACCCCCACCCCCTGACTGCCCCCCCGGGACCCCCATCCCTTATCCAACCCCCCTGCCCCGGCCCCCTTACCATGCCGCTCAGAGCAGCATGTCTGGCAGCTGTGCCGCCTGCTCGGCAGGAGTGCGCAACCCCGCTGCCCAGAGCGCTGCCCACGCAATGGCATGGCTGTGGGGAAGTGGGGGACAGCGGGGGAGTGGGGACAGTGGGGGCTAGCCTCCCCGGCCAGGAGCTCAAGGGCTGGGCAGGACAGGCCTATGGGCCGGATGTGTCCTGCGGGCCGTAGTTTGCCCACCTCCGGTATAGGGGATAGGATGCTTGTAAGTTTCAGCAAGTTACTTCATCACTCTGTCGTCGTCGTCCCCCCCCCCCTTCTGTCCTGTCTATTTTATTATAAGTGCCTTGGAGCAGGGACTCTGTGTATATACAGTGCCTAGCACAAAGGGGCTCTAGTCTCATTTGGGGGCTGTTTAGGACTACAGTTATAGAAACAATAATAGTCAAATGGTAAATCAGACAGCTGTGGAAGTAGGGTTACAGAAACAAACTCTTATTTTGTATACTAAGCTGCAAGATAGCTGTAGAATAGATTGTTTGAGAGGTGATTATCTCATGCTAATTAACGATCACTACCCATATTCTGGAAATTCTTTAAACTCTCCATCTGAAACCAGGATATATATCTAACAGACTATAGAGACTTAATCTGGTTCAACTGTATCCAGTCTTCTCCTCATTTCTACTCCTTGCAAACTGCATGAATGCAGATCTCTCTTCAGATCAGTCTGCATTTCTAAACCTACAAAATAAAATGAGTTTTGACCAGCATGGCCTAGTGAAGTAGAAGGTTTCTATTCATTATTTAAATCCAGTCTTGTCACTGACTCCATATAGGCAGCTGCCTGCACTCAGATGGAGCCCTATTAACAGGAGCTTAGGGGTGCTCCTGCATGGAGTTTGTTGTAGGCTTGGACTCCAAATGAGACTTTTGTTGCTCTTTGTGGGGAATTGCCTCTTTCAAAGTATATTTATAAACTCTAAGGAAATGACTCCTGTGTTTGTGCTATTTCTCATCCCTTTTATCCACTTGTATATTCTTGGATTTTTGCAAGTCACTTCTTAGACATACTTTAGAATAATTTTTGTCATACTCCAAGATCAAAGAAACATTATTGTTCTTTTTCTGCAGAAAGCCAGCCAGAAGAAAAATCTGAGAACAGCAATGCTGGTAAGTGTTGGACTCAACTGCCTGGTACACTTGAGAAATGCTTTGCATCTAATAAAGAAATCCTCATTTTCAGTTTTTCTATTTTAGTTTTAGTGTGCTAATTTCTTAAAGGTTTGTTCAGGGTAACTAGATAGAGAAACACCATACATTTGAAAAATAACTTGAATTGATTGACTGCTATACTGAGAGACTTAAATTATTCATAGATTTTTACAAGAAATGTAAAGTTACTAGGAAAGGAAGACTAGTAAATCCTTAATATTTCTTAGAATCTTTTTTTAAGTGTTTGGATTCAGTATTTCTGTTTTTGGGTTTATGTTTTTTTTGTGGTCTCATGTTTGATAATTTGTAGTTTGTTCTGACTTTTTGATGGGAAAGTATTTTTATTCTGTCTCATTCCCAAAACGTGGAATTTGGGTTTAACCCTACAGAGTCAGAAATCAAAAAAGGTCATATATTGGTTGTATTGCATTCATTCGATTCTGCATACTTAACTGTTGTGCACAGGATATAATTGTCAAGGAAGAGTCAAGAAAGGAAAAAATAATACTTGGATCAGTAGTAAGGTGGTTGTTTCAAAAGTGGCTTATCAAATAGGGTTAAAGATGATGGTGATATTTAAATCAGTTCAAATTGATGGAGCACACATCAGTGATCTTTAGTTCAGAGAGCCACTGGGATAGGAAGTTTAGCACAAGAAATATCTATCAGTTAATGCGCAACATGAACACTAATAAAATAAAGTCTGCACATACACATTTTGAGAAGGTGGGATCCATTGTCTCTTTCAAATTGTGTGTCAAAGCAAGCATTTTAAAGAATTATTTTGTATAATAACCAATCTGTGTATATTAAGATTTCTTTTCTAACTGTAGGAAAACTACATTTTCAAATGATGAGCCGTAGTTGCTACAATAAAGAATGTAATAAGTATAGAAATAGTCTTTTGTGCTCTTATCAAAAGTTAGAGTAGTATGGTATGAAGGAAGTCACACGTACATTTGGACTACCTCTGATTAGTCGCAGAAAATCAGATATGGCTTGCCTAGAAACAAACTGTTCTGTTGATTTTACTAGGGTCAGCAACATGTTTATATATGATTACGTTGCTGGAGTTTCCAAATGAGCACCTGAGAGCATTATAGTGTTAAGTGTTACTTAGGAAAAGGTCCAATTCCTCTTTTTTGAAATGAAAAGCTTTTGTTTGATGGAGAATGAAAATATCATTAAAATGCAGAAGGAAATAAGGGCCAATACTAAGTAAGAACTTGGGGAATGGGGATATTAGACATAGCTAACATAAAATGTGGAGAGAAATGTAAGTCTTCTCAGAACATGGGTTACCATTTACATGTACAAATAAAGTACAGTCAGGGCTATGATGACACTCAGTAAAGGGTAATGAAAGGGATTTTAGATTTAGATGGATTGCAAAGACTGGCTTCTTCCTTGTCTTCCCTCAAAACAATCCTTAAACACATGTCCAATATTAACTGTTTCAGAATGACTCACCAGAATATTATTTTTCATCCACCTCCATATAAATCTTTTAATGTTCCAATATTTTGACTTTTATTTGAATCACATCTTAGCTTTAAAGGTTGCTGAAAGAGCATACTATTTAGTTCTGGGTACTGGGAATAATTATTTCTGAGAAGGGATAGGTTTCCAGTACTGAGCTGATTGAGATGCTTTTTGATAAAATGGACTAACCATGTCAAAGGGATCATGATGAGTGCTTAGAAATGTTTGAGTTGGGAATGCATTTATACAATTCCATAGTGTATTTATAGTTGGGAATGTTACACGATTATTTGTTAAAATCTGTTCATTCTGATTACTGTTTTACTCTTGTATTTTATCTGTGTTGTGACTTAAACAACTGGTCTGTAATGAACTTAGAGGTGAAAGTTTTATACTACCTGGAAGCTGAGATTTGCTGCTTTCAGCTGGTGTATGTACAGCAGCTAGTAATTGTTAAAATCTTTCAGAATGGTACCATTTATGCTGTATTATTTTAACATTATTTTATTGTATCTATGTATATATACATGACTGCAGTAGAACTGTCACACTCCATTCCTCTTCTGGGGAATTATTAAATGATTACTTCTCCCATCATAGGCACCCTACGTGACTTACCCCTGTTGACCACATGCTTACATGTAAATAAGTGCAGCAGTTTGGGATTTTGTTGTGCCTCATTATTATTTGTATTGCAGTAGTGCTTACAGACCTCAATCAGGGATTGGAGTCCCATTATACTAGGCACTTGTGTACACATAATGAAAAGATGATCCCTACCTGAAGAATTTAGAATCTAAAAAACTAGAGACAGGGGATGGATACTAATAAATTGATGGCTAGAGTGGGACTTACATCACAATGTTTACAGAAAAAAATCTTGGCTGTCACATTTATTTTATTTGGTTAACCCTTCTACATACAACATACAGTACAACTATACAGACAAAATGATGGGGCCTAAATTAGCTGTTAACATTCAAGGAAGAGATCTTGGAATCATTGTGGATAGTTCCCTCAAAACCTCTGCTCAGTGTGTAGTGGCAGTCAAAAAAACCTAAGTGTTAGAAACTATGGATGTTTCGCGCCCTAGGCGAAACTTCCACCTTGCACCCTCCCCCCCTGCCGAGCCCTGCGGCAGCTCTCCCCCCAGCTCACCTCTGCTCCACCTCCTCCCCGAGCAGCCGTCCTGTTCCACTTCTCCCGCCTCCTAGGCTTGCGGTGCCAATCAGCTGTTTGGCGCCACAAGTCTGGGAGGGAGAGAAGCAGAGCAGGGCGGCGTGCTCAGGGGAGGAGGCGGAGCAGAGGTGAGCTGGGGCGGGGAGTTCCCCTGCGTGCCGCCCCCCCCTTACTTGCTGCAGGCAGCCCTCCCCGCGCCCCCCTGCCCCAGCTCCCTCCGCCTAAATGCCGCCGACGACCAGGGCGGCCGAAGATCCGGCTGCTGCAGTCGCCGCCAAAGAAAATGCTGCACCCCAAATGCTAGTGCCCTAGGTGACCGCCTAGGTCGCCTAATATGTTGCACCGGCCCTGGGAAAGGGATAGGTAAAAAGACAGAAAATACCAGGATGCCACTATATAAATCCATGGTATGTCCACACCTTGAATGCTGCGTTCAGTTATGATCACCTCATCTCAAAAAAGATATGTTAGAATTGGAAAAGGTACAGAGAAGGGCAGCAAAAATTATTAGGGATATGGAACCGCTTCCTATGAAGAGAGATTAAAAAGACTGGAACTGTTCAGCTGGGAAAAGAGATGACGGAGGTCTGTGAAATCCTGAATGATGTCGAGAAAGTGAATAGGGAAGTGTTTTCCCCTTCACATAACACAAGAATCAGGGGTCAGCTGATGAAATCAGTAGTCAGCAGGTTTAAAACAAACAAAAAGAAGTACTGCTTCACACAGTGCACAGTCATCCTGTGGAACTTGTTGCCAGGAGATGTTGTGAAGGCCAAAAGTATGACTGCGTTCATAAAAGAATTAGATAAGAATATGTCCATCAGTGGTTATTAGCCAAGATGGTCAGGAACACAACCCCATGCTCTGGGTGTCCCTAAACCTCTGACTGCCAGAAGCTGAGACTGGATGACAGAGGGTGGATCACTTGATAAATTGCCCTTTTCTGTTCATTCTCTCTGAAGCATCTGGCACCAGTCGGTGTTGGAAGACAGGATATTGGGCTAGATGGACCATTGGTCTAACTCAATATGGCCATTCTTATATTCTTCTCTTCCAGAAAAGTCATGAATCTAACATGACATTTGCAAACTACCTTTGGATCATTCTGCTTGTGTATAGCATCTCTCTTCACCCTACCCTTTGTCTGCCATGTCTGTGAGTTTACTTTAAGCAGTTTTGAGACAAGGATGATTTCTTACGTATGCTTGTACAGTGTTTAGCAACACCCTTCTTTTATTAATCTAGACTAGCAGTCTAGATACAGACTTCAGCAGAACATGAATAAAATAAGAAAATGCGAAATAATAAACACATTTCTAATTATCAATTTTACCCACTCATTATAGAATTATTTTTCTTTCTTTTTTAAAAATGAGGAAATTACATGGGAAGAAGAGAAAAGCTATGCAAAAAGAATGTTATGAGGGCTGCTAAGGCAATCACTCAAAAGTTAGGAAATACCAGAAATAAGGTTGCCCACTTAACCTTAATCTAGTCCCTTTCTGTGTACGCCTTATGAGCCAGTCTTCAATTAGAATGATTGCATACTATTTTTTCTACAGGGATCCTGCTTCATTCAATGTGTAGTATGGTCAACGCTCAGGCACTGAATCAGGGTTGTGTATTGATCAAGGCTGTTGTCTGTAGGATCCCTAACTTATTCACTGCAGAAGTTGGAAGGTGTAAAGTGGATTAAGCAGAGGAGTGTAGGAAAAGAGTACATGGTGTCATGGTTAAGGCGGCTGAATGACACGCAGGAGAACGGGCTGTTTTATTGACTTCTTATGTGATGCTGAGCAAGTCATTTAACCAGACATTTTCAGAGGTGGCCACTAATTGTGTGTTACCTGCTTTCTGTGTGCCCAGTGTGGGACACCTTTGCCTGATGTTCAGAAGTGCTGAGCACTTACGACTACTGAAGTCAGTGGAAGCTGTGGATGCTCAGCAGTAACATACCACTGTCTCCAGGAATGAGCACTGGGTTAGGAACCAGGAGGCCCTAAATTCTAATCCTGGTTCTGTCATTGGCTCATTATGTGGGTTTGGGCATGTCACTATTTCCCTAGCTATAAAATGAGGATTATAATACCTACCCATCTTCCTCACATGGGCAATGAGGATGATTTAATTAATGCATATACTGTGCCTTGAACATACAAAGTGCTAACAACACAAATAAGGAGTTGGAAGAATCCATCCCTAACTGCCTTAATTAGTGGAAATTCTTGTGAGATTTGGCCATAAAATCTGTGTCCTCATTTCTCATGTGTAAAATCACTCCTTAACTTGCAGGGGTGCTGCAAAGACAGATTCATGAATATGTTTGAGGCTCAGATACTATGGAGATGGGTGCCATAGAAAAGCTCATGGAGAAATCAATTCCATATGTAGTGCAAGGTATGGGTGGTGTACAGTAGAGAAGGTATAGGGCCACATTGGTGAGAATAAAAAGAAATACTCAACAGCAGCTTCAGTCCTTGAGTACCATCCATCCTTTGTGAGACAGGTGCTGTGGAAGAAATGTGTGGTCATATAATTAAAGACTGTGACATAATGCACTTGTCTAAGTTAAAGTTGCATGGGCAACCTTAGTGCTGACATTTTCTAAATTTTGAAAGCTTAACTTTGCAAGCTTAATATTCTTTTCACACAGCTTTTGTATGTAGTGGGTATATACAGATGTTATCTATAGATGAAAATAAAATTACTCTTTTCTTTTAAATTGATATTGTTCCTTGAGAGTATGTGCATGTCTGTGACCTCTATGTTTATTCACTAGTTGATATGAATGATAAGCTATGTATCTATGAGATACCTGGAGCTGTAGCAAGCCAATCCGTACACTTAACAGATCTAAATTCAGGTTTCAAAATCTTGACATGAATTCATAGCAAGCCCTGAACAACTGCTACTTAACGCATATTTTCCTTTTGGACAACTTGTCACTCGTATTCTTTTCCTGAACTTGCCATTGGGCAATCTTGATGCCTTCTGTTCTGGTGGGAAGAGATGCATCCTTTTTACAGTTTCCCTTGTGCATTCAAGCAAAAGGAGTAAATTATTTGATATACCTCAGGCAGTACAGCGTGAACCTAGTGTGTAAATTTTGTCTGCCACAAATATTCATGTGCTGGCAAATTGTAGACACAAATACTTAATTCTTAAACTGTCTGTAGATAGAGAAACCTAATATAGTAAGGAATGTGAAATAATGTTGAAAGAAAGGAAATTATTTAGAGTATTTTAGGTTTTGATGACATTTGCACTAGAAAACATGGAATACAGTGCAAACAATTCTGTAGAGCAGGGAGAGCAGTAAAATTTGTATGGAAATTTGTATAAGGTTATGTAATTTTGTGCAACAATTTAAGAAAGATTTGCTGTTAGTTAGGCTCAAATTAGATTTCCTTTCTTCCACTTAAATATTTCAACATATATTTACTAATAATGTTTTGAAGGAAAGCTGTAACTCTGTGAAATATGGTTATCAACAACAGTTATGGTGCAATACTCCAATGAATTACTCTCCAAAAACAAACAAAACCTAATAGTTAAAAAAACCATTCAAGTGTGAAATGTACCATTTTCCAGCTTGTGAAGTCATATGTGACAAGGACAGGGCCGGCTCTGGCTTTTTTGCCGCCCAAAGCAAAAAATGCCCTGCCGGCGCAGCAGCAAGGGGGTGGGGGAGGGGAGGAGGAAAACAAATCTGCCCCTGGCCGGAGCGGCGGAGGGAGGGGGGGGGGGGGGGGGAGAAAACCGGCCGGCGGCGGGGGCAGGGGGGGGGGGGGGGGGAGAGACAAACCTGCCCCCGGCCGGAGTGGCGGGCGGGGGGACGACAAACTGGCCCGCCTGCTGGAGCAGCGAAGGAAAGAAAAAATAAAAACAAACAAAAAATACCTGCGGGGCGGTGGGAGCGTGGGTGCAGGGGGACTCCCGGCCCTGCAGACCCTGGGCAGCGGAGTGCGCACCCCGGCTAGCGGGGGGGGGGGGGGGGGGGGGGGGGGGGGGGGGGGG